CCCGCTGATCGCCTATATGTAAAAAACCCGGTACCGGGTGTTCGCATTGGACGGGTCTTTTCTGCCCGTGCGTGCCCGCTAGGGGGCAACCCGCCAATGCAGCAGTGCCGTCCGTCCGTTTTTCTACTACGGGCGGACAGCAAGAGGTTAAAGCTTAACTCCAGGTAAAATAGTGCAAGGCTATGGGCCCTGCATTAAGGTGGCCATACACTGTACAACCATCGCAAGACCTTAGTCTTAGGGCTTCCGATCACCGCAATGCTGAACGGGCAGTGTGCGCGTGCGCACACCGGCCCGTTCGGCATTTGTCTCCCGAGCACCGTTCAAACCAGCCGAAAATCGTGTTTTCTAGCGTGCTCCTCAGACAAAAGACGTGTGACCGTACAGTAGAAACGGTCGCACGTCTTCGTTCACACTGCTCGATTCTCGTATGATCGCGGGATTTCCCGTGATTCTCGTACGAGAATCGAGCAGTGTATGGGCACCTTTAGACATGATGACATCAACGGGCGGGTGCCAGAGCACATATCTAACCCTTGAGGAGCTGAAGGGTAAAATGTGTTTAATAAGAGAGCCTATAGGAGGAGCACATGGAGAATAGTACCAATCACAAGAGTGGCTGAGCAAACTACTAAGTGTTACATCCATTATGATAGTATAGTACAGACATAGGGAACCTTGGCGCTCCACATGTGCTGAGACATCATATCTCTGTTTCTGAGAATCATGCCTGTGACTGTCAGAGTCTTGCAGTGCCTCATGGGACTTGTAGTTCCACAACAGCTGACGTGCCGAGGTTACCTACCCCTGGTATAGTATTATATTGTGTTATAACTGTGCATTTAGCTGTTTGGCTGGTGTTCTACCTTAAAGGAAACCCATACTTTGCCCATTCAGCATTTTGCATCACGTAGCCCTTTACAGAGCTGCTGCTGCACAGTCCCTCTGTGTTTATAAAATGTAGCGATTTTTAATTATTATTACACCAAAGCTGTTTTCATAAAATATGATGACCTCATGACGTCTGTGGAATAGGTTTGCAGCCGCGTATAGATTTTACAGTATAACCGGCAGTAATTTACTACTTGCATGGTGCTTAATATCAGTTTGTTATCTTCCTTCGGTAATTGGAGTAATAACACACAATCGTCTCCCAAGTGAATTTAGATTTTCTTTAAAAATGCAAATAGATCAGTTTTAACGACGAGAGCTGTGGCTTTTGCCTGTATTTCCATTTATAACACCATGGTAAATTGGATGCAGCGAGATGTTGAGTAGCACGGAATGTGTGACTAACATGCTGAAATCACTAACACTTGCTTGTCATTTGTAACTTGTTGAGGGGAGAAGCAAGACAAACCCTATTAATATTCTGCTTCTTGTAAGTTTGGAGCTCTTGGGTTCAGTCCTAGCTTTCTGACATGTACAGTGTTTGGCAGTAGACTTTGGCTGCCTATAGACATTAGTGGGATGTGCAGATATGGTCAGGGTGGTACACCATTATCTTGCATGGTAGGTTCTGATGACAAAAAATCTATGTTAATAGAAATGGTAATGGTAGACGGTGAATGGCACAGGCAGGTGCTGCTTAAGGAAAGTTATCTAATTTCTAACCTTCCTGATTTATGCTCTTACTGGGAATAAGTTATCCCAGCTCCGCAACTATGGGTGAGCTGTACGCATGGTGGCCACTGGAAGCCGACATGAGTACGGCTCCCCATAGGAAGTTGGCAAGCCTAACAACAATCATTTTTAGATCAAACTGGTTATTTAGTCCAATCTGCTCTTATTTTACAAAGCGCCGTGTTGTTTTTGCAGTCGGAAATTCATGACTCGTCTGCTAAATTAATGGCAAATGGAAGGCTTGATAAAAATTTTAACTACAACTCGGACACAAGCTGACCTGTTCCATTATATAGCAAATGATGAAGGTTATATTGTCAAACTAAGATTCCAGTTTGAAGGGTTTTTCCGTTCAACTGTATTAAGTTAGACACACGCATATCATATATTTATAACGTGACTGCGCACTTTAATTACTGCATGCACTTGCATATCTAAAAATGTCTTTCAGTGTGACCCATTTCACCAAGTTTCTAGCGGTCTGTTCCAGTTCTTCTTTCCTGTGTTCCAGTTCTTCTTTCCTGTGTTCCTCTTTCTGAATTGAGAAACTTTTTTTCTTTTTCTTAGGAAGACAAGCAACCATGATTCTTTCTTGTATGTTGCGCTGATGACCAAGAGAGTGCCAGATTGTTGAGTTGCTTCAGTGCTGGGGTCAGTATGGGGACGGCGACCGAAGAACTGGTGGTGGCAGAGGATGATTCGTCATTGAACCCCCTTTGCTTTGAATGTGGTCAGCAGCACTGGACAAGGGAGAACCACCTGTATAATTACCTGAATGAAGTGGACGATGACCTGGTTTGCCACATTTGCCTTCAACCTTTGCTGCAGCCGTTGGATACACCCTGCGGCCACACTTTCTGCTTCAAGTGCCTCAGAAACTTTCTACAGGAGAAGGACTTCTGTCCACTGGACCGAAAGAGGCTGCACTTTAAACTGTGCAGGAAATCCAGCATCCTTGTGCACAAATTGCTGGACAAGCTGGTCGTCTCCTGCCCTTTTTCCAATGCATGCAAGGATACCATGCAGCGCTGTGATGTAGAGGCTCATCTCAAAAACAGGTGAGACAAAGTAAAAGTGTACTATAAGTTTGATGTAACATGTAACTTCTGTAGGAACTAAATTGTCATTGTTTAAAGGCCAACACCACCTAAAATTAAAAGCTCGCTTTTGCACAGACACTAGCAAGGTGCTTCTCATGCTGGCGTATTATGTCTCTCAAAGACTTTGATGGTGAGATACTGTATCTCCATCAGAACTCCTATATCTGCTAAATTGCCAGTGCCTTGTGATGATGTCATGCTCAGTGGATATTCTTTAATGTAGGAAAAATAAACAATTGAGGAATCCAGGTGAAGAGTGACACCTATATGGTCTTTCGAGAAGGGATGGGGACACAAACTAATACTGGGAAATCTTTCCATTGTAGTCTCTGAGTCTGTAATAATAAGGCTTTGCTGATGGATTTAACTGTATTGTTATCACTTGTGTGACTAGAGAGAAATAAAAAAGGTAATTTATTTTACGATTGGCCTCCAAAAACTGACCTTTCATTAGAAATAGCATGTATACAATTTATAAATTACCTTAGAGGTCGGGTCTTAGTTTTCTTTCCTTGTCAAGGTTGGTCATCTCTTACCTTCATACCCACCAAATGTGAAGCCTCAATACACATGGCACCATTGTTTGAGATGTCTGCCTGGGAGATCTGCTTGATACACTAGCTGAACATAAATAATAATGAACATTGTTTGCACACCTTACATTGTAGTTTCTCTAATATGTTAATGGGGTCAAATTGAAGATCAAAGGAGCAGGATGGCAAATTGTTCTCAAACGAAATTGTAATAATGAATGAGGTCTTCAGTCGAGAAACTCCATTCATTCCAAAACTGAATGGTAAAACAAAACAAAATTTTGAACGACATCCATCAAGTCTCTGATGGCATTATATATTCGGTCGAGAATTTTCCTATAAACATTCGTAAATAAAATCGTCCAGTGCATGGCCAGCTTTAGTAAATGAGGTAGTATTTCTTTAATTTGACTGAGGGTTATTCACAAAAAAATGAAACGTTTGGAGAAGGCAGGAGAAGTGAACAATCTAGGCCAAAATAGCTGATTTGGAAAAATTCTCCAATTCAGCTCACTTTCCAGTTCAGCTATGTTGTCCTAGATTGTTCACTTCTCCTGCCTTATCCAAACTCTTCACCCTTTTGTGAATAACCCTGTATGTCTCTAATAGCAGTAAGGGTTGATTTGCTAAACAAGTAGAGGCTGTTTACTCAGCAAAGTGAATGTTAGCGAAAACAGTGAAGGCGTGTTAACTTGTGCCCTATTAGGTCATGTAAAATGGGAATTTTATTGGTATATTCACTGCAAGACATGCATTGGCGCAAAACCAACTCCATCAAAGAGCCCCCACGACATGTGTAATGCAAAGTAGTACAGTCCATAATAGAAGTCACCAGCACTCGATGATGTGCCCAAGAAGTAAAGCACTTTTTATTAAATCGTCACATGCATCATACAGCCAACATTTTGGGGCCATGCAGGGTCCCTGCTTATGGGCGACATAGTGACACCTTCACTATGTTGGGCTGTATCTGACACAGCGCCATCCGTGTTGTCACTTCAAGCACCAACCTTTCATCAAGGTCTGTACGCTGTATGGAGTGCAGGTGATTTCCTATTATCGACCGCAAAGTAGTACAAGCGCGATTTTTTTACGGATTCTGCATGTTTGCAGCTATATAATAGCCGCAAACGAGCGGAATCCGTGCGCGTGAAAGATTTTAGCGTTTGCGTTGCCCCGCGGTCTACCGCATGGAAAACCGTGCAGGAAACGCAAACGATATATGTGAATGGAGCCTGAGGAATCACTGGAATAGTCTGAGCAGTTTTCCTGTAATGGTACTCAATGTTTGAGTCTTTTGAGGATGCCCAAATCATAGCAGGGGTCAGCAGGAGCCTCAGCAAGCACTGGGTTAGCTTTTGGAGGCTCCCTATAATGATACTGTGTTTCTGAGTCTTCTGAGGACCCAGGAATTAGCAGGACACCTATCGAGCACTGGATTAGTTATGATCCTTATGGTCACATTGCATGTTTGAGTGTTCCAAGGACCCCCAAATCATATCAGGGGTCATCAGGAGCCTCAGCAAGCACCGGGTTAGCGTGTGCAGGCTCCCTATAATGATACTGTGTTTCTGAGTCTTCTGAGGACCCAGGAATTAGCAGGACACCTATCGAGCACTGGATTAGTTATGATCCTTATGGTCACATTGCATGTTTGAGTGTTCCAAGGACCCCCAAATCATATCAGGGGTCATCAGGAGCCTCAGCAAGCACCGGGTTAGCGTGTGCAGGCTCCCTATAATGATACTGTGTTTCTGAGTCTTCTGGGGACCCAGGAATTAGCAGGACACCTAGCAAGCACTGGATTAGTTATGATCCCTATAGTCACATTGCATGTTTGAGTCTTCCGAGGACGCCCAAATCATAGCAGGGGTCAGCAGGAGCCTCAGCAAGCACTGGATTAGTCTCTGTAGTCTCCCTATAGTGCTGTTGCATGTTTGAGTCTTGTGAAGGGGCCAGCAAGAGCTGTAAGATTAAAATGAGCCCTATAAATTGCTAATGTTGCAGGAAAATGTGAGTAGACTTGGCGGCCAACTGTCTTTTTATGTGAGCTAGTAAATATATAACAGTATAAGTCAAGCAACCCTGAGTGGGTAAAGAGCTACAAGTGACAGCATGCCATGACAGCCAGAAGTTGATAGGACATGATAGGTTTTCTAGTTCCTCAGCTGGTGGGTTGCTGGACATCCTGTGCCTGATGTGCTTCTAATGCTGTGTGCGGGGATTAGATTTTTCTGAAGAAAACCAGACAGCAGCCAGACAATAATAAGTGGTGCTTGAATAAAATGAAGCAGCGAGTTTCCATTGAGTGTATGAGACATGCTTCATTGCCTGTTTCAGTTTTCCTCTCGGAACCATTGAAGCTATGATGTTATTACACTGCTGCGCTCAGAAATTCGCCTCTAATGTTGTGGCTGACTCTCATATCCAGTACAGGAAGTTACTTAGGTCAGATGTGCATCAAGCGGTATTTAATCCTGTCTTCATTACAAAGCCCCAAATGCCTTGACCTGCTTCCAGCCTCTGAGTACTGTGGTCTTCATTACAGATTGCAGCCAGGGGCCTGTGATTTTATATATAGACAGCATGCTACAGTGACCTGTTAATACATCTATCCTTCTTTTCTTTTTTTTATCTTTCAAACTGCACACAAAAGCTATTATATGAAATCTCAAATATAGGAAATCTGTATCACCCATATCGGCAAATCACATCCTCCCAACTAACCCTTCTTTAGAGGGACTGTCCCCGTTTTTTTTTTTACTCGGTTGTCATTTTTTTGGGTACAGTGACAGTATTAAATTAGTGGTGAAAAAGCACATATGGATGTCAATATGAATATATTAATTGTGGGCATAGCAGGGTACATGTCCTTTCCTACATAATTTGTGCTATAAGATGTCCTTCTTTCTCATCTAAGAAAGTTGGCGGGTATGGAATGAGGCTCTTATTTTCGTAGCCGGAATGTGGATGGTTTTCCACACCAACATGGGCAGTTTTGTTTTTCCCCAGTTTTCCCCATCAATAAGGCCCCTTTCACACAGGCATTCTGATCAGGTCCGCCTGTCAGTTTTTCAGGTGGATCTGCCCGAAAGCACAATGTTAGTCTATGAGCTGTTGGATGTAAACGGACGTGCCTCTCTTCACATCCATCTAGGTCCAAAGAAAAAAGGTACATTTTTTTGGACCTGAAGTGATGGATCAGAGGTAAAAGGTTGAAAATGAACATCATAGAAGTCACTAGGACTCGATGATACGTGCAAGAAGTATAAGCACTTTTTATTAAATTGTCACATGTGTCATAGAGCCAACGTTGCAGGGCCACGCAAGGTCCCTTCTTCTGGGTGACATAGTGGTCACTGTGTCGCCTAGAAGAAGGGACCCCGAAACGTTGGTTGTATGACGCATGTGACAATTTAATAAAACGCGCTTATACTTGCACGTATCATCGAGTGCTGGTGACTTCTATTATGGACTGTATCTGACATGGCGCCATCCGTGTTGTCACTTCGAGCACCAACCCTTAAGGTCTGTACGTTGTATGGAATGCAGGTAATTTCCTGTTATCGGTTGAAAATGAACACACGTCCGTTTACATACACATGCCTATAGACCTAACATGGGTGTGTTTAGTTAAATGTTTTCTTCCATCACAAGATGGAAGAAAAAACTGAATGGACACCGATGTCACAAAAGTGACATTTGTCCTGTACTGCTCTCATCAGCATTTGTTCATGGAGCTTCTGTGATAACACACATTTCCCTCCCTCTCCCCATGCCAAGGTGCAAGGTGTCATCCTTGACATGGACCTCACCTTTCTTCCCCACATCCAATCCCTTTCCAAATCCTGCCGTCTTCACCTTCGTAACATCTCCAAAATTCGCCCCTTCCTCACCAATGAAACCAGAAAACTAGCCATCCATTCACTTGTTATCTCTCGTCTCGACTATTGCAACTCCCTCCTCATTGGCCTACCTCTACACAGGCTATCCCCCCTTCAGTCTATCAAAACCATCCACAACTCTGCCCCCGGCTAGATCTCAAACCTTGTCTCAAAGTATCACCCTAACCGTCCCCTCCTCCCAAGACCTCCTGCTCTCTTACTGCCCCGTCAACTCCCCCCATGCATGCCTCCAGTAGTTTTCTAGAATATCTCCCATCTTCTGGAAGTCCCTACTCCAACCTGTCAAGCTGTCTCCTACTCTGTCTGCCTTTAGGCGATCCCTGAAAACTAATTTGTATAGGGAAGCCTATCCTGCCTCAACCTAACTACAGAACTCTCACTTTCTCAAACAATTTTTTCCCACATAGCTACCTCCTCATTTATCACTTGCCCCTCCCTTTTAGATTGTAAGCTCTCATGGACAGGGCTCTCCTTACCAACTTGTCTTGATTTGTAATGTAACTGTAATGAATTAATTAAT